GAATGATTTTTTTTTATATAATCGTATGGTTGCTTATACAATAAATTTCTTTCATAGAAGATGATTAATCTCTTTTCTTTTTTTTTTTTTTTTGCTTACAGTCTGTCTTTTTCTCAATTTTTAATGGGAGTTAGAGTACTCTGAAATTAAATTAAAAGTCATTACTGAAATCGAAAATAACATAAGCGTGAAATATTTGAAATTCATTTTTTCTTTTATAATTCGTAATATAAATGTAAGAAAAAATTGCCGAAAAGTATTAAAAAGTTTTTCCTCATCGATATATATTTTCTAATTACTTATTTTTACTAATATTTATATTCTTTATATTTTTAAAAAAACATATAATATTAGAGGCACATGCGTAGCGCGTACTAATTAACTACTAACCTATAAAACTAGAGTTATACTAATATGGTGATATTTGTTGTTCTCGTTTAGTTGGTTTACTAATGTAGTGTATTTTTTCTACTTATAGGTAATCTTTTTGTATAATAAATGGACAATCAAACTAATGGAGAACAGAGATAATTGTAATTTAGAAGTTAATATAGGCTTCACATAGGTCACCATTTTAAAGCGATATGAATTTCACAGTTTGTACCGTATCGAAAGGCTTTAATTCCCCTTCTTCTCTCCGTTTGGTGGAGATGTATGTTAAAGTTCATCTATACCCTCCATTTGCTTATTGTTTATTGCGTTTTAGGGGTATTATAAAGTTCATCCATACACGTGTAGAGAAGCATGCAAAATATTGAACTAAATATTGAACTAAGTGACTTTAAGTGAATCAAAACAGAAGTTTTTTCAAACATCAATAATGAACATCCATTTCATTAAAGGAAGATATGTGTAGTGGAAAGTTATAGTGAAAAGAAATAGTGACTAATGTGTACCCCTAATTTTGTTGTCACTTTACCGTTGAAATTTTATCTCCCTCCCTAAAATTACTCTTTTGTCCCTAAATATTATGCACACATTAGTCACCATGTATTTTCATTATATAATTTTTACTATCTCTATCATTGCTTCATTAAAATCTTGAATAAGTACTTTATATCAGCCGAAGGTGTATGCACAATTCCAGTCAATAAATGATATATCCCCCGATGAAATAATCATTCAAGTTACAGAAAAAAGAAAACTCTTACATACCAAGAAGAACAGAACGCTACAACAACTTCTCGTCCCTCAAAAGGAAATACAAAGCAATATTAAAAAATCAAATTAAGTAATGTCAGTTTGTACTAAGAAACCCCAAATCAGCCCCATGAAAAAGAACAAAAGAAACAAAAAACAAAAAAAAAAAAAGAAAAAACACACACACACACACTTTAGGAAACCAGAATTCTTTTCATAGGATTTCTATATGTACATATTTCTCAGGCCCTCGACGCAGGAATAATATTTTTATTCAGAAAGCCAAGTTTTGATCACCTCTGCTCTAACTTGTAAGAAGATTTGTTCACCAACACTGACATATAGATCTGTAAAGGATGCGATTTGTAATTAATATATAGTTTCAACTTCCACTTCGCTGGATTCTTACTATCTTTGTTCCTACAAGTAAAATTAGGCGCTGGCCATAAAATTATTTTGAATAAGCAACCCCCGAAAAAAAAAGGAATAAAGTTGTTGAATAACAAAGTATGTATCTTGGAGATTTTTGTACTTTGACAAATGTTATATTGATTAAAAAAAAAGTAAAGCAGTTTCTCACATTTCAATGAGTTTACACAATAACATTAATCAATATTGAACACTTCATGATTGAGTAATTGATATTAAGCATATGAAAATCATAAATTTCTATCATTTTATTAAATGACATGCATTTGCTGAATTATTTAACTGTTGAAAACATAATAAATGTCCTTCTTTTACCACACGACCTTTCTAATAATTACTCGATTTCTCTTACATGATATTTGTATTGGTGGAAGGTATTCATAAAATAACACGTGACTCTAAACAAAAAAAAAAACGGTAGAAGTGAAGTTAAGTAATAAAGAGTTTGTTATCACATAACATGCCGACACACATAGTATTCACACACTAACTAAAGTCATAACCGAAGGTAAAAGGCTAAAAAAAAAATTAAAAAATAACTTAATGAAAACAAACTTGTGTTTTACATGCAGCCAAAATATTATAATAATACTAAAAAATGTACAAAATAAATTTAAAAAATAGTAAGATGTTGTGGCTTTTGATCTTTTGAACAAATCAAGATATAGATCCACCGCATGACATATGATTTTTATAATTGATGATTATTTTTCTTTTTCGATTTCTTGATACAAGTTATAATTGAAATCTTGTAGATGTTTTATTACCAATGAATGTTGTTTTTGTTGAAAATTAGCTGATTATTTGAATGAGAGATTGATTTCTCATCAGATTGGAAAAGTGAATGCCCAATAGATTGACTCGTACATAGGTGCAGCCTACACACATGAATGTTGATTTGTGACTCGCGGACCTTATCAACCCGCATTTTGTCACTGGTGTTGATTTTCTAATCGACATTGATGGAGAATTATTGGAGCAAAACTGAAATGTAGTTTTGTGGTTTTATTCCAATTAAATGGTTTTGAATTTTTAGCTTTATTGCAATTAAAGCAAAACGGTTTTCTGTTATTAATCACATTAATTGACAGAAGTTATTAAGGCAATGATTTTCTCCATTCTATAAGTGTTAGCTTATTTTCTAGTTCTCAACAACTTAAGAAAAAGCCAACCTCCATTCCAGTTCCCTTTCTAATTTCCACTAGTGTTCATCATATTTCCTAGTTTCAGTTCGCCGGTGATTTTACCTAAAGTGCAAGACGAAAGTCATATTGTCCTTTGTATCTTGGGAAATAGACGCTCTTCCATTCTATAGCACTCCGTGAGAGGGAGAGAATCTGTTTTAAAGAAAACGTATTTCACGTGCCTCGAATTTTTCCTTTTCTTCTATGTCGAACTTGTTATTGTTCTTCACAAATATCTTATACAATTTTACCAACAGCTTTCTCGTCAACACACAAGTTGGTTAAGTGGCCACATCAATCACATGTTTTCTTTTTAAAAAAATTAAAAAAAAAAAAAAAACACATGAGTTATCTATGTCGATTCCAAATTGATAAAAATAATGATTTTTTTTAATGAAATTAAAATAATGAATTTTGATACCAAATGAGTAACAGATAAAAATAGTCAATTTTACATATTTTTCTCTTGTCATTCAAGTTGATTTCATCTTCACATTGTGCAAGCTGAAATCACGTTTCAAACATTGAACACCTACTTTGTGAGATGGCTTTAAGTGGTTGATTCTGAGTAGTGTATAAATATCAGTACTTCGACAACAAAGGTTTGGTTTTGTAGTTTACAAAACTCGTGTTACATATAAGTGTATGATTCCAGTAACGAAACTTTAGCGCTGTCAAAACAAACTATACAAATAAGTAGCTAGATAGACACTTGTTCAAGTAAAGTGGAGACTTTTTGAAGTACTGAAAATTAGAGTAAGACGGGCATGCTTAATGTATGTCTTATAAAAATAAATTAATAATCCTTCTGCACGCACATTTGTAAACTATTGTAAACGGTCTATGAAACAGGTGTAATAGTACAAAAATATCACATTATTTGTTGAGTTATTTTAGTTTTATAATTCCATTCTCTATTTTCATTTGTGGTCTCCTATTTTCCACCTTGAGAACGATTTATGAGTGATTGGTAAGAAAGTTCATTTGCTTTTGTCAAAAGGAAAACCATGTACACTGGATAAGTCTTGTAGTAAGATGAATTTGAACTTTCTAATGCAAATATGTTATGGACATGTAAGACAAACTGTATGTTGTCCAATTATTCCTCAAAAGAAATTAAGTATTTGGGATTCCTATAATAGCTTTCAGGACTCCGAACTTAACTAATAAAGAAATGAACTAAGACTTTTCTTCTTAAAGGAAAGAAATAAAGGAGAAACGTAAACCCAAAAAAAGAAAAAAAAAAAAAAAAAGAAAAAAAAAGGGTAAATGTCGCTGTAAAATTTTATTGCCCTGACAAGAAACCTTTGTAGTAATAATGATCTACCAACCTAGGTTCATGTTTACATGTACATAACAAAATCTATCTTGAGTTTTTATTTTTTTAGAGAATATCACTTGAAAATAAAATAGAATACAATATACATGATGACAAGTATATTTCCGGTAGCTATGCAATGAGAATGGAGGACTTGAGTTTATCATAAATATCAACTGATACAAAGTATGCAAAACATTGGATATTGGTTTTCCTCGACGTTCAGTGAAAAAGGCGAAGTTGTCAATGCCAATAATTCATTAAAAAAAAGATAAATATATTGTAGTAATTTTTAGATTGACACCATAAATAAATGAATATTTCAAAGTAACTACTGTATGTTGAGACACTTCTTTTTTTTTCCTGATAAACTACATAAGACATATATGATCTCATCTAATGAGACATTTTTAAATAGTGTTTTCTGTAATCGAGTCACAATCATCATAAATAATTATTTAATAACTCTAATATGTTCCAAAAATTGTGAAAACAATGCAAAATCATGGATAGTGGTCTTTGTCGATTACTTTATCAGTTTTGATAAGTAGAGAAAAACATTGATGCCAACCATTATTACATTAAAAATAAAAGTTTCCCGGCTTTTACGTTGATTGTTACCTTTAAATTGACGAATATTTCAAAGCCAAAAATATTTCAATAGGAATTCAAAAATTCAATGGTTAAATATTTTTTCATACATTTTTAGGCAGTGTCAAATGATCAAGTTGAAATAGAGTATTGAATATCAATTTTGGTCGACATTGAATTCTCACAAGGGTTTCAACTTGATTAGCTTTTTTTTTTTTTTTTCTGAAAAGGTCAACTTGATAAGTTATTACATTATGTGTTGTATTTGTGCTCGTCATTTTCCGTCCTTTTAGTGTGAAATGTAAATAACAGCGTAGGATATAAAATTATTTTGTTAAGAAAATTGGAAATTTATTATGTAAATATTTATAACATTTAACAAACAACGAAAATGAAATTGATCAAATACTAAATAATGATATGATAATAAAATATGTGAAAATGTAACAAATATGCCTTTATCATCGGTTTTACTAAGTAGATGACTTCTGGCAAATTTTGAAGCGAGAAAGAAAGAAAGGCAAAATACTAATTGCGGAAGGTAGATTGACATGACCGGTTTGTTCATTGCTGAGATACCTATGTGTCTTAACTAGCTTAGGATGAACTTATATTGGGACTAATACTGCCTGTTGCACCACACCACCGTCAAAGAGCCAAGAAAACTTATCAATTCAACTATATCCTTCTATGTTGAATGTGATTGATTGTTGACTGTCAAAACAAACTTATCAATTCAAATTTGACTTGATGTTAGATCCTACCGAAACAGAAACCTACAACAAACTACCTACCTCCACAAAATTTACAATTTCTGTATTAACGCGCATGTACCGCATCAATTAGAGAACTAACTGCGGAAAAAGAGCGATCAGCATACAGTTAAGCACTAAATGAAAGTTTGAATCGCACAATTCCGGATAAACATCCTCCTTTCAACGCTGCTGCTCTTGTAATGTCATTGGTTGCATATCCAAAAAAAACTTGCACGATAGATTTGGTTTCCTTAGGGAGAGCTCACATTGCATTCTATAGTTGTTTATAGAAGAGTATGTATGCCTGGTCATGCAATACCTTGCCAGTACCAATGGTGGTAACAGATGCATCATCAAACCGCAACCACTGACCACTAGGATAGCGAGCATCTGCGGTGTAGTGTCCCTTTGATGCTTCCTTTCCATGATGTGTTATCGTCGAAACAAGCTCGTACTTTCGTCCCTAAGCAAATAACAATCAGCAAATAAGTATTCCCATTCCAGTAAGCCACTATTATTAAAGAAGAAAAGCATTTCAATGTTCACTATTTAGACCAAACGTTGAGTTTTCCCCATTCATTCAAAGTTTCCATTTTTGATCAACATGGAAAGAATTGTTCAAATTGTTTTGCGACATTATGATAAACATGTCTCATCATTATTGACAAACTTGGAAAATAAATTTGGCAAATTTCTGAATTGAGTGAGAAACTGCAAAGATACAAATAAACAACATATTGAACATCAATTCTAGATCAAATTTTTATAACAAGCAGGAGATGTTACCTCAGTATTTGAGTAAAGCAAATCACGGTTAAGGACCAGTTCAAGAGGGAACCGCACTGGCTTGTGCAACTTGGTGCTTCCGCGGGCTACATAGCAAAACCGTTTCAGGTGCAAGACCAATATCTTGGGAAGCGTCCGTATGCTAACAGATTTTCTTGCACTAGCAACTCCGACCTAAAAGATGATGCGATAGTGTGCGATCAGAAACATCAGCATGGAAGTCAAACTCCAATTCATACGTGTTACTTTATCCATATAAAAAATAAAAATAAATAAAGCTATGCATGCAACCAAACACCTGACTACCAGAAGGCTGGACATTAAGGCTGTACGTTTTTCATATTTGTGTTTTATTTTTTTCATAATTTTTCCTTTCAAGAGGATGAGCTCTGTTGTACAATGATCAAAGTCAGGAAACCTATTTACAGATATTGGAAATAATGTCAAAGAAATGCAGTTTAACTATCAAATGCATGATCTTTAATTAGGTTCGGTCAAACAATTCTCACAATAACTAAGAATTTACCCTCGCTATGCTACCCGATATACACATCATATACCAGCATATAATGATCTGTCAAAATGCTTATCATCATTATGTTTGTATTATCACTTCTCCGTAGATTTCTTTCAAGTCTTTTCAAGTATTCCCTTTCACCTATAAATTGTTGATTTAATAACTCTCCACATTTTCCAAACAAAGAGAACTCAATGAATGAGATAAAACTGGTGCCATGAGCAATTTAGGATTGCTACTAGAATTCCCATATCTCTCAATCTGAATAGAATAAAAAAAGAAGAGAACTAGGAACTTGTAATGGACCAATTACTCGAAAAGGCATAATCATCAAAAGTGCTGGGAAAATTTGAATGACACTAAGAAATGGCCATGTATTTCAAAATCATTTAAGACATTTAAACCACCTTAGAAATGACAATGAGTCATGAAGAGATGCCCAACGAGAGAAACAACAAGTACTGATATTTATCAAACCCTTCTTGATGGAGAAAAGAAAAGAAAGATCCAATCCACCTTTTAATGTCAAATTTGGAAATATGTTCTTTTTGCAAGTTAACTTCAAAATTGTCATGGTCATTAATACACAAACCTTTCCACTAGCCGGTGCTCGGTACTCATCAAGAGTCTCTTTTGCAGAAAATAAGTGCAGAGCGTCTTCGATCGAATACACAGTTTCATGATTGATGTCAAGATGAAGAAGAAGAAATGGCTCCACAGTAGCAGATGGTTTATTTCCTGTAGCAAAAATCAACAGCAATGCAATATCAGATTTCTCTGGATAGAGGGACACGATCATAAAATCTGGGTAATCAGAAGTGTCTAAAGTTTGAATCGACCAATGAACAAAGGGTTCAACATGCACAATATTGCACCAAGAATAGCATAATAAATAAAAGAGTAGCCAGAGCTCGGAAGCACATAAGATAGCAGTGAGATAAAATCAACAGAATGAAGTCACGTCCCAAACCTAACCAGATCAAGAAAACCCATCCCTTTACCTTACTTTTCCTTCACACACAAGAAGCATATACCAAAAGAACAAATGCACAAGTCAAATTGTTTATCTTATTTTCCCTTCATACAAATAGCATATATTACTAGAACAAATGTACAAGTCAAATAGTACAACAATATACCACATAGAGGAACAGTACGCGTTTAGCAAGAATACATGTCTAATAACCAGAGAAGAAAAGATCCCCTATTGCATGCGCCCTGGAAACATTAACAATACCTAAATGAAAAGGAATTTAGCGTCAACCTCATGGCAATATTACCAGTCAGGTTCTCAGCAGCAGAATATAAAAATTCAAAAGCATCAAAGTCAAATTTACCTTTTGCCTTCACAACACTGTGTAATTGCCCCCCAAAAACCAAACTTAATTTTGAAGGGACAAAGGTTTGCGTTCTTGTCACAGCAGATTTATTTTTGGGGCCAACAGTCTCCCACTCATCATCCTCAGCCGCGGAAACAAGTGATGATTTCCCTCCACTCATGTTTGATTGGCCTTCAAGCTTGAGCAGTTCATCATGCATTTGATGCATAACATAACTTAAAAACTCTTGAGCATCTTCTTGCCTGTCAAAAATCAAAACTAGTTCTCAGTTGCCTCAAAATTTTAATATTCTTTACCTTAGAATTAAGGAAATATCCAGAGACAGCTCTTTCCAGAAAATTTTCTTGAAAGAAAAAGAACACCAAATTATGCAATTAATGCTGAAAATAAATGAAGTAGCCTTCATCAATATCTTAAAAGAAAAAGAAGCGATCCAAAAAAAAAAGAAAGAAGAAAACTTAATTAACAAAGACATTATCTGAAGCATTTCTCAAATTCAATGAATTACCAAAAGTACATATACATGTCACCAGATTTCTTCGGTCCATTTTGTGAATTAAAACATATCTGGAGCATGAAGTCTATAAACCTTCCACCAAATTCTCTACATTAGGAAATCGGCCTCTCGAGAAACATAACAGATTCCACAACTTTATGACTTCTTTAAATCATCGATCAATAAATACGTACACCAGTCCACCAACACCCCTACACCCCAGGGAAAGAAAAAAATTTTAAAAAAAAAGTGAAAAAAGGAAAAGAACAAAATAAAGCCCTTGCTTTGAGCATTCCAAAACAGTAGAGTAAAAGAAAATTCCAATAACAGATTCCAATAACAGAAGCCTCCAGAAAAAAAAACAAAATTTTGGAGAACCATTAGTGCAATAAAAACTGGATACGATTCGTTAAACAAAATGCCTTGAAAAGTGAACCTCATTACAACATAGGGAATAACAATCTTCCACCATACCACTTATTTCCCAAGCCTATGGTCATACTAACCACAATTGAAGCAAATATTGACATCGCTATAACTATATAGCTTCAGCCTTTTTGTAAAATTTTATAGGAAAAGACAGTTATTTTCCTTAAAAATACAGAACATTCAAACAACACCGAAAATCAAAGTTCAAAATCAAGATTCCCTCAAAAAATTTGTTCAGTTGTTCCAGTATGAAAGAGAAAAAATTTCCATTCAACATTACTTTTGTTTCCATCTATAATCTGCTCACTTCTCCAGAAAAATTTCTCCATAAAAAGCTCCCAAGTCTTAGCACAATGTTTTTGACACCACCTACAAAATCTTAAAGAGTCAAAATCAGATCTTGTACTCTTCGGAAAATTTTTTCTTACCCAACTAATTTGTGGTTAATTTCCTTTGCCAGATAGCCTCTTTGGCTGATGGTTTCTGTGTCAAACACCATTTACAGCATAAGAATTTATTACCTCTTTAAAAGAATTATTTATTAACATATAAAATTTTACCAGTATCAATTAGAGAACTATTGCATCTATAAAAATACCGTCATCTGGTGAAGGTAGAAGCAGAGCATCAACAATATGGACAACAGAAAATGAACTAACCCATCTGACATATGGCTCAGTTCTGTTTCGATAATTTAATTCCCCATAGGCCACGGGATCAATGAGGTCATATTTGTAGTCAAATGGGTGTGGTACTGAATTAGATATAGAAGACAATACCATTGCTATTGTATGAAGGTAGCTTTTACATACATGTTTGTAAAATCGTTGATTATTGTAAGGATTGTGTGGGATGAAGGCATTAGTATTTGACATATTAAAAAGGAAGACTGACACAATGTTAGAACTTGATATGCTAATTGAGCATTTTAGCTGAGGAAAAGGGACCCAAAAGATATTATCAAACTGGATTTCATTTCTTTAATAAAATTCAAGAGTCTCTACTTCTGCTCAAGAGTTCTACTTCAGCTACTCAAGAAAAAGCAAATATTACTAGGGATCCTCCCATATTTTAGAAAATCTAGTCATAAGAAACACATTAAAGCACTACCAAAAAAGGGATACTGATTAATGAAACAGTCAAATAAACAATCAATTCAAGACAGACAGGGAAAATATAGAGTAGCAACAGCACCGACAACTAAGCCTTACCCCATGGAATAAAAATCACATGTCACCATCTTGCTCAAAGAGTGGTTATGGGAGAAAAAAAAAAAAAAAAAAAGAACAAAAAAAAGATATAGGTAGTAAGATACTGCAAATGCATACAAACCTTGGCCTGCCAGACATACTACTGGGCACGTCTGGAGTAAAATTTTTCAGAATCACTTCAAACATGACGGGACTGAATGGCCAGCCAGTTTCAAGAGCAGAAACATCTTTCTTCGTCAAACTAACACCAGAAGGAAAGCCAAACGCATGAATAAACTCATAAAATGCCGTAAGAGTGGGGAATTCAACCTGAAAAATAACAAATCTTGAATTATTAGTATGCACGAAAGCAAGCAACTCAAAAGAAACATGGAAAGATCACAGATAATCAAATTAAAAGGATCAAAAACCACCTTAGAAAAATTGCTCATTCTTAATTCTTGCAGAAGCTGAACAAATGGGGAACAGGCCAAAAGAGCCTGTAAAGTTGCATTAAGAAAGCACAAATTTCCTGCATTTATTAGGCCCCGAGGCCGAAGCTCGGTAAAGGCCAGAGGATCATGACTAGCGTCTGTGTGGACAAAACCAAAATTATGTGTGCCCCAAGGTCCAGCAAAGTTTCCATAATTATGTGTGCCCCAAGGTCCACCAAAGTTTCCATTTGAATTCAATCCCTTTGAACTCACACCACCAAGAGATTGTGGTGGCAAGGCAGCCAACTTACTCAATGCGTCCTCATACTCTCCAGCCACATTTAAAGCAGTATATTCTACCTTATCAATGGTATTTGTTCCTTCACTTTTACTACTGTTTAAATCCTTCCTCTGGCAAACGTTCCCGTTTTGTTTCGCATCATCAGACACGGTATTATCACCTAAATTTGCATTACCGTCATTCTTCTGCTTCTGAAAGTTAGACGGAACTGAGACCAGAGGTGCCTCCAGGGAACCGAATTGTATGCTTAGTTCATTTCCACAGCTGCCCAAAGATGATTCTTGAACAGAGGCCCTCGAGCCAACTTGGGACTCTACCGATGTCTTTTCGTCTTTGGAAGATTGCCAAAATCGAGACTTTATTTCATCCTCAGTAAACGACCCAAATAGAACCACCTGTAAAAGAAGAACGGTAAACATTTCAATAAAGCGGCAAAAGAAGAACCGAAAACAAACAAGAGCAGCAAAGATAACCTAAAACATATACTCCTCCCCGAGCCCCCAAAAAAAAAAAAAATGCGCACTTGATTGAACTAAAACAGTAGAACTTGCACAAAACTAATATTTGTGCTTTGGGTATCAATCGGCTTCTGGGGCACAAAACTAAAAATGTATGTAAACAATTCACTGATTTTAGATATTCCAGATAAACCCCAATTCATATAACAGAAAAATAAAACAAACCCAAAACTCAAATCGGAAAAAGAATGAAAAATTCCGGCGCAGACAGTGAATAAGTCGGTTGAAGAAGAAAAACAAAAGGCTGAAGGGAAAAGGCCAGTACTAACCACGGGAGGGGTGCTGGTGCTTGAAGAGTGACGGGCTTCCTTCTTCTCCGCCGCTGATCCTCCTCCACCGCCTCCGCCTCCGCCTCCGCCTCCGCCCCCTTTCTTCATTTTTTGTTTTCTCTTTCTCTTCTATTCTTTTCTCTTGCGGTTTATGCGTAAGAGATTTTACTTATTATTATTACACCGCTTTAGTTTTCTGTTTGTGGTTTCATTTTTAGTTAAATTCCAAATGGACCTTGAGAATAAAGTGTCGTCACATGGGAGCCCTTATAATTAGAAGATTATTCCTTAAGTGACCTTAAAACTCAAAATCTTTCAATAATTGTCCTCAAAGAGCCTTTTTATAGAAAAATAAATAAATAAATAAATAATGCAACCATATTAGCGAAAAATCCAATAACAAGTTTTTTGAACTATGAATGAGGTAATATCCACCACACTCTCAGGAAGCAAACCAGGATTCTGATACATTAGGTGTTCTACTTTACACATTGATGGAGGGGACAAACTGCAAAGAAGTGGTTCTACCTTTCACTTTTAGAATTTCCATGTATTTTCTTTTGAGTGAATCATGAAAAATTCGTTTTGGCCTCAACCTAAAATATTTATAATGGCGTGGAAAATTTTTTTAGAAAAGTTAAAATAAATTTTAATATTGCTTATCGTGTTTGTGATTCTTCCTTGTTTTCATATTTGATGGATACGATATAGACTATACTAAGTCTGGGCAGTCGCACGTTGCGCGACCAGTTCGTATTTCTCATTATTATGCTCTGTTTGTGTCAGAGAAATTCTATTACGGTGAATATTATTTTGAAACTCTATCTGTTAACATGTAATTGTTTGTTAAGGAGTTAGATTTGAGCCTATCATGAATTGTGTATTATTAGTTGACGGTGATATAGAATACAAAGTTACCGATAAATACTCATATTTAATCATTGAATTTGGTTGTACATAACTTTGATTGCGTTCAACATACATAACCCTACTTTGTTTCTTTTCCTTCGAAATGAGAGATTTTATCACTGAAATTATCACAATTTACATCAGAGTAAGGCGATAAGCAAAATGAGAATATGAATATAAAGAATATTTTTAGTATAATATACCTAATAATGGTCAACCTAAATTCATGTGACATGCATTGAAATTGACCAAATAATATCTTATCTACATTTTTTTTGTAAAAACTGTAAATTTTATATTTACTCAGATAAAACGTTTCCAATACATGTTTCCTACCAAAATTACACCATTTACAGTTTTTATCTACAAAAACTGAAACCAATGTATCTTATCGACATTGGTCATAATTTTATTTCTTTTTTTTTCCTTTCCCCACACTTCTTTTTGTTCACCAGCAAAAGAGAATAAAAAATTCACAAGCCACAACGAACTATATAGATTTGAAGTTTAAGAAAATAATTAAATTAATGTCAAAATATACAATGGCAAAATGAAAAAAAACAAAAATTTGAATTCTTAATTTATCTTTTCAAATCTGAGCAAAAAAAATATAGCAAAAATTTGAACTTCAAAAACAACACATTATCCAACGCACCACCAGTAAAAATAAATGGAAAAACAAACCACATTATATTTCTTGGACAGAATGGAATATAGTCGAGTTTTTTCCTTAAATATACTTGCACATTAAGGACCTGGATAAAAATAAACCTTCCCAAAATTTTGCGGACAAAACTAAATGCCACGGATTTCTGAAATACGAATCAGAGTTGCACTCAGATTTCTGAAATCCGAAACCTATAGAATTTGGATTATCGAAATCCGAGTTTGTGTAATGTAAATCTGACATTAAGTTAATAACAGAAACTAGTGTAATTAATGATATTACGGATTTTCTAAATCCGAATATGCTAATAAAATATTAATTTCCAGAAAGAAAAACAAAATACAAATGTTGGAAAATTAATTTTAGCTAAATTCGGATTACTGGAATCCTACGGATTTTGAAAATCGGGAACACTTCTTCGGCTAAATACGGATTCGTGAAATCCGAAGTTGGATACAGTCGGATTTTCGAAATCCGAATATGCTCGGTTTCTGAAAACTGGGAACTCCCAGTTAGCTACCAATTCGGATTTGCGAAAGCCGAGTCCTGTAAAAAATGAAAGGAGAATCTTTGTCAGAACTGAAAAAAAATATTGGACTTGTTTTAACCAGTCCAAAACCTGTTTACGACACCAACAACAATGAAACATAGCAAACAGAAATCTAATAGCAACAAAACAATAAACATCATTCGACTAACAACGAAACATAACAAGTTTCAATCCAAAATCAATCAAAAAATTACTTTAAATGTAAAAATACATCAAAGGGCTCATTTTTTCCCTTTTCCTTTCTTAAGCGCATCCGAAGTGTATTATTTGGCCCATGCCGGTTCCTGTCTTCCTTCCGAAGATACGTGAGTATTGAACCCTGTTGTTGACGCGGTTGGGGTTGGGATTGGGACTCTCCCATGGTAAAAAATAGGACTCCCGGTTGTGGTTGCGGTTGTGATTGCGACTCTCCACCAAATTGAGTCTCGGGCCCACCAATGTCTTCAAATTGAGTCTGGACCTGGATGTGCGAGCCTCTAGAAGAAGCCGCCTCGCCATCTCATTGTTGACCCTCATTTTGTTCTTGCGATGTCCGAGGGGGGATCACTATCTTTCTCTTTCTTCCTCCTCCAATCTTGTCTCTCGACCACGGTTTTGCTTTTTTATCCGGCGGAGGTTGTGAGGGCATAGATGGTTCTTCATCAACCAGGATTTGGGTATCTTCCACGTCAATCTCATCATTTGCACCCAGGGTTAAAGCAGCATGTGCTTGATCGATGATTTTGTTCAAATGCTCCTCGAGTTCATCGTCTAGGAGATTATTATCATCTCGTTTATCTCTAAACAGCTCGGAACTCACGCGAATGTTGTTCAATACTTCACCCTGAAAAGAAATTGGAACATTAATTAAGGGAGTAAAATACAAAAAATAAAGAAAAAAATAAAAGGAAAATATAAGAAATAAGAAACCAAAAATATAGAATGAACTCACATATAATTTCACTCGCCTCGAAGAAGTTTCGTATCCTTAAGGTTCATAATTTTTGGGATTAGATATCAGCTTGACAGTGTTCATCATGAACCATTCATAGTACCCCTCACATACTTGGTCAGGGTATCCGACCTCTAAATCTTGTAAAACGTACTTTTCTCTCTTTCTCCAGTGAGGACGTACTGCGGAATAGTGATCCACCCAATTGTTGCTATGATACACAGACATACTGTGGGCGTAATCGAGAAGAAATGTTGCGTTATCTTTAATCATAGGGCAACTGAGAACACTCTGTATATATCCAAATTGTCTCACAACTCTGCCCGACTCATGGGGTTCCCTAATTGCCCAACAGAACATCTAACACCTGGTCGTCCAAATGGCTTGGCCTTGTTTACAGAAATTAGGGAGTCTATGAAGGACCTTTGCATATGGTTGCCACCGAAACTGCACGAAAAGAATTTATTTAAATGGTATAACCGGAAGAAAAAGAAATTCAAAATAAATATAAATACCAAATTAAGTACTTACATCTTCAACACATAGGCTTGTTAATTGATCTCTAAAAGGTGGCAAGCTGCTCCTTGGGACGTCTCCGTAGGTGTACCTATATTCCAACCTTAATGAACAAACACGAAGGGGTTACATTTGAATTAGTAAAAAGATGGATAAGAAACAAATACAAATAAATATTGAGTTATTTTGAAATGAAAATGCATACCGCTGAGCTAATGGAGCGGTCTCATCAAGTATATAATCTACTCCTTTTCTGTGTGACGCGATTCTCTCGATCCGCTTATACGCCCATACCTATTAAATTTCAATAATAATGTTAACACTTCAATAATAATGTCGTGCATGGTGTACTGGGATGCCTCGCACAGGCCAGAGTACAAACCAGCCAGTAGGGCCGATCCCCAACTGTATCGACTACACTGCTCCAAATCCTCAACCTGGGCCAAAAATTGCAGATTGACAGTGTTTTGAGTCTTGGTAGGAAACATGAAACTGTTAATAAAATGCAATATTAGTGTCCGGGCCCTCTGCTCAAATCGTTGGCTGGGGAATCCTCAGGGAGTGCACGACCCATCTCATCCTCGAAAACACTAATATTGACAAATTGGCCATTTACTTGGGCTGGCCGGAATTCCAAATAAGTCTCACATCTCGCCTGCCATTCTTCTGCACTACGGCTAACTGTTGTTCGATACACCGGGTCACCATCCACCCGAATACCAAAGAGGACCTCAACATCTTGTAGTGTCACAGTCGCCTCTCCAAAATTGAAGTGGAAAGTGTGGGTTTCTGGCCTCTACCGTTCCACCAACGTCGTAATAAGATCGAGATTCAATCTTTTGTAGCCTACTTTCATTATCCCCTCAAAACCGGCTCTCCTAATGATTTCATTAACCTTCGGTGTCGTATGATTATTGTATATCTCCCAAAAGTCGCTATCGTATCTACGGCCCTTGAGGCGGAATGTTTTAATGTTGTTGACTTTGTTCTCAAAGATAGCTTGGGACCTATGATGTGCTTGACGGTATAGCACTTTATCTTTTATCGGCCTCGGTTGAAGATGTTTAGGGTGATATTCATATTGCGAGCTAGATTCACCAGCCATTGCAATCCTATACAAGGCAACCAAAGAAAACATCAATGAGCTTACTCATTCGGCTTTTAAAAAAAAACTAAACTAGGTATTATACTACATTCGGATTTCATAATTCCAACAAAGCATATCAATACATTTAAAGCATTTCCAACAATGCATATCCAAAAAATTAATAATAATGCATATCCAACAATGCATATCTAGTAACACACTTAACATACCGAACCAAAAAAAAATAATAACTAAACTAATACACATTCGGCAAAACCAAACTAACACACATTCGGCCAAACCAAACTAACACACATTCGGGAAGTAAAAAAAAAAAACTAAAAAACAGAGCCAAAGAACTGAAAAAAATAGTTGTAGGGAGTTATCATCATTCATCAGGCTTAATTCTAAGTAATTCGTTCGAATTTAAAAAAAAAAACTATTCGGATTATCAAATTCCGAATCTCCTCTGT